TTGTGAACCTGGTCTGCTGAGTTAGGCAGGTTTCTTCTTCCGGAGCAGGGAGAGGTGAGGAGGACTCACAGCTCACAAGATCGGCTCCAATGCATGTAACCCGGGAGCCTGAGCCTCCTGCCAGGTTTTTGGTGGGAGCTTTGTCACTGACAGCAGTGGAAGCGGGTTCACACCCCGGTGCAGAAGCATCTCAAAGAAAGGGGGGTCCCAGGGCACCGGACATAAGGACTAACCAGCCCATTTGGAAGTGGGGAGTGCACAGTGAACCTCTTCTGACTCTGTACTTCCCCACACGCATTTACTGTCTGAACAACTGCTTTCGTATTTTCCAGTCACGTTGCAACAGTAACTCACTGGTCACTGACAAGTGTTAGACATATTGCTAGAAGACCAGGCAGCTAAAAGACTAAAATGCACTGTGCTCACTGTAAAAACTGGCTTCTTACATTGTTTCTTTTTATATGGTTGAAGAGGTGGTTGCGCTTCAGATTTTTATCCTTTTTTTTTTTCTTTTTTTTTAAAGAGGTCAAATGTATATGAAGTGCATGTTATCCTGAACTTTTTGTTTGTACATCTTGGTGTCCGATCATCTGCATGAAAGACACAGTAGTGCCATGTCTGAGCTTGTTCTCTTGTGCTTGGTTGCTATGAACTTCTCTAGATTGTTGAGTTTTCCCCAAAATAACTTTGGTTAATATTTAGTTATTGGGAGACATCAAAACAAGATATCATGGTGGCCCTTTGTTTTCTTACAGTTTAAATACAAACAACAAAGCCTTGTGGTTTAAAGTTAATTTGTTAGTGTAAATAAATTTCTTGCCAATGAGTATTATTGTTGTTAGACAACGAATGCAATAAAATGAGAAATCCTGAATCTTTATTAGAATTTGTACTGAGTCCTCACTTTCCTGCCTGTTTGTTGGTCATTCCAGAAGGAATAATAAATGGTGAGCACGACTGGACAGCTGTTGCTGCATGGGTCAGACTGCGGGGCGGGGGGGACACACGACCTTGCCCTGCTTGTTCTTTCCTTCCTTCTGCTCAGTGCTGAAGATTATTTTAATCCCAGCTATTGGACAAATTGGCATGATTCACAGGCCTCTGAGTGGATCTCATTTACAATCTGTAATTATGTAAAAAGAAGTTAAAAAAAATAGAGTAAGGAAAGAGAATGGTCTTTTTTCTTCATATGCAGATGAAATGCAGCATGCAGCGTTCTGCTGCAGGTTGATGTAAAAACAGGCTGCCTTCACACTGATGCTGGTCAATGTTCCTTTAAAAGACCAGGATTAGTTGTGGTATATAAAAACATTTTACCATTTTACACTCAAATGTAGGTTAGTTATAATGGGCATTCTATGTTTAATATGTCTCTATTTTTATGTATTTGATTTTAGTAAAGCATTAAGTTAGGGAAAAGCAGAGGGCACAGATTGTCCAATTTGTGTAGTCATTTCAGTGGATTTACATCTGGCAAAATCTAGGCCAAATACTGTGCACTTAATCTGTCTAACCCAGTCTGTGTTTCCCAGCGGCTGAATCGTAAATCTTGCTTTCCGCTAATACAGCCACCAACTGAAAGAAGACAAAAGAATCCTCAATCCATAAAATTATTATCTTAATTAAAATAGGTATATTAAGAGGCTGTAAATCCATGACTGACACATAAAATGTGTCTGCTCAGTAGCTTCCTAAGCCTGGAGCCATGTATACATACATCCTTGTTGTTTGTGCAAGTTGTCTCAGATACCCGAAATGCCCAGAACCGCTCCAGACTCTACAGCTTGTAAAAGATGATGGGCTATGCCCGCCTCTGGGAAGCAAGCCCAGATTTTCCCTGCACAGGTTCCCTTGCAATTGGGAATCCAGGCTTGAGGTCCATCTCCCACTGGTGGTTCTGCACCGAGGCTGCCGGTGGGCTTTATCAAGCTTCTGCTGAGGGGCAGAAGCTGTACGCCAGCGTTGCTTCTGCTGCAAAACGCCTGCTTGCTGTCTCTGCGCTGCCCAGCCCCGCTTGAATGCACAGTGGTCCCCACACTGCGAGGCCGGGACACCCTTAGGGGAGGTTGGCAACGGGCTTCCGACCTGCCGTGCCTCAGGTTAAAATTCAAAATTTTACTAATAGCAGGTACTAAATCCTACCTATAATCTCTCTCCTCGCTTAGGAGTGTTAGGAAAAATATAAGGCCCGTTGCTTGCACGTGCTTCTGTCTGTGGGCAGAGTGCTGGGAAAACCTTCAGTACAGGAATAGTTAAAAAAAGAGAAAAAAAAACCTGACGAGTGAACACATTCTTTATTTTCTGAAAGCCCAAAACCAACAAAAAAGTAGAAGTTTGACAAGATCCAACAACATGTAGATTTGCTCATTAGAAGATGTTCTAAGCTCCTAGAAAACATGAAATTAGTGTTTTGATGGATGATTTCTACCACGGCGGAGGGACATGCTGGCTGTTACACCTCCACAACCAGAGAGTAAATCCAGGACCAGCAGTGACTGGCGTTTCGGTGTTTCGGCCGTGTTACTGCCAGTGCAGCAAACCGCTAACTCTTTAGAAGACGGCACTTAGTTTACTTGAGAACAAATAGTGGCACAAGCCTAAAATAATTATTTTAAAATGCTAGTGCGGGACATTGATGGCTGATCACCAACAAGTTAATAGCCCAACCTCCCCTTATTGTGAGAACCGCCTTCAGAGCAGTTTTTTTCTGCTTGGGCTCTGGGAAGAATGTCTGTTCCTCAAGGCTGAAAATGGATTACAAGTTCCTGTAGGAAAGCACGCCACTTCCCAGGGAAGTTGAAAATGTCCTGCAGGGAGAGAAGTTGCTAAGGAAGGAGCGGCAAACCCAGAGTTATGGTAAATTATTTTCTCGGGTGCTTGGTGCAGTTGGCTGATGCCAAAGGCGAGTCCAGCAAAGGGATGAGACAAAAGCTGCCCTCGTTCGGGGCCGGCTCTGCTCTGGGAAGGGCTGTCTGCATGCCGTGGTTAGCAAAAGACTTGAAACCGTGATCCGAACAGATGAGGCCTCGGTCACCAAAGCCTCTGTAGGCAGACAGTAAACCCTGGGCAGTGCTCAAGTCTCCAGATAACTCTGGGCATTTTGGAGAGGAGCTGGGAAAGCAGTTTGTGCGCAGACCCGCTCACACAGCGCCGTGCCCAAGAGACAAGGTCAATGAGCCACGTGGGTAGCCTCAAAGCTGAAGTCTCCCCCTCCAGCCATCAGTAGACCCCTGCAGCACGTGCTGTTTGTATACGAAACATCACAAATACCAGCAACCACTGCTGCTACGCGGGGATGAACGAGGTGTCTGGCATGGCAGCGTGGGAAGCTGCCGGCATCGGGGAGGGCGCAGCAGCCGAGCCGACATGTCACCGCTGCCAGCTCAGTTCTCAGCTCCTGCATAACTTCTTGTGCCCGAGGAGGTGCCTTACACCACGCTGTCTGTGCCAGCGGCAGCACGGGGGCTCAGGCTGGAGCAGACGTTCTGGGGACAGGCAGCGGATGTGCCAACACCCAGAGCCCACTGCAGCTGCGCAGAGGAAGGGGGATGGCACCGTCCCTCCCGTACGGCAACGCAGCCCCAGACACGAGCCCTGGCACCGACTCCTTGCTCTGGTTAGAGCTGCCCCCTTCCCCTGGAGAAGGAGCGGTAACTCTGTCACACCAGTGGATGAAAGCTGTTAGGCTTACTTTTGTGAGAAAGGAAAGGCACAGGAGGCAGAGGTGTCACCACACACCCGCTGTTCAGGGCCACCGCTCACCCAAACCTTAGCCCGCAGCAACGGTTCCTCTCGGCCAGAATGGCAAAGCCCAAAGAGAGATGAAGACTTGAACAAACTCTGGCTCCTGTCTCAGTGTTCGGGCTGCTATAAAGCAGGTTATTTGCTCTGTCTTGTAGGCAGAAGTGCACCTGTGGTTTCAAAGTACTGAACTTGCCATGTACTGTCCAGATTAGAGGAGGCCGTGGCTGGTGGTGAAGCAAATTGCAAGGAATAGCAAAGCCAGAATAGCAATTAGCACCCAGGGACTGGCTCTTTCTCCCCCTGAGCTCGCGCTTCACGAGCTGCCTGCCTTTCATCTCCGCGCAGCGGGGGCAGAACAGCAGCGAGGGAACGCTACCGCATCAGCTGAGGGACACAGGTGAGACAGCGGCCCCGGGCAGCTCTGTCTGGTGACACCGTTCGGAGGGGGCAGCCAAGCTGCTGCCAAGGGCCAGTGCAGGCAGGCGCAGGCAGCACAGCGGCAAACCCGGCAGGGGAGCAGGCACGGATAACGCAGAGCCTTTACCTGGATGCCAGCATCTTTCACAAAGCTGGAGCGGTGAGCAGAGGTGGGAACTCGCAGGACAAGAACAGCTGCAGGACCTGCTCTGCGGGTAAGAACGTCTACGCTAATGACAGAACAGCTTGCTTCCCCGGGCGCGAAACCCAGAGGTGGTTCAAAGCGGGGCTTCTGCCAGGCTAGCGTCTTGCTGTGCGCACTGTAAAGCACAAGACTGATTCCCAACTTCAAAGGACTCTCAACTGAGTTTATTGCAAGTGATTGCTAACTAACACCTTTCTAAAAAAATATCAATCGATAGAAACCTGGAGAGGTCTTTTAGCAGGGCGTTATCAGTAACTGCTGCGGGATGCACGTGAAGCGAAGCGGGTGCCTCCTGCACAGCAGCACGGCGGGAATCAGCTCCACGCAGACTGCAAGTTAAACGCGGAACACGCGTGACCCGCACTTGGAGGTAGTCGCTGTGGCAAAGCGCCCAGAAATGTTCCCTTTGCCGTGACAGACAACGGTAATTGCTAATGCGCTTTTCACTGAAGGTGCTCGGGAGTTGTTGCCCGCTTTTGAAGGAAAAAAAGGCTTTTTTTAAACTCCCTTTGGAAGACTCATTAAGAAACCACTGCAAAGTGATGCCCCCCTCTTTTCTCAGTAGAATTACGGCAAATTTATGAAACTGAAGTAACATTAGGAAATGGCTTAAAGGGGGAGGAGGGAAGAAATGAGACTGAAATAACATTTATTCTCCTTCCAGTTATTTCGGAAGCCCTAGGGAAAGCCAACAGGAAGGTTGAGAAGAAGAACCCTTAGCACAGTCCCTGGGAAAGCCGAGGGGTCGGTGACAAGGAAGCACACCACCCTGGTAGTTAGCAATTCTCATTTACAAAATCAGTTTTCTCTGGGGAAAAACAGAAATCCAGTCGCAACAGATAATTCAATGCCTGACAGTTTAGTCATTTGTAATCTGAATTTGAACTTCAAGGCCACCCTTTGTTACTGACGTGGGGTCCTCCACATTACACAAACTCTCATTTCTCACCTTCAATCCAATTTCCTTTACTATGGCGTAAAACTCTTTTTGGAGAGGAAGGCTAAAATACATTTCCATGATTCTAGTTAACCTTTATTGGAACAGTCTTCTTGTTAGCAAATCTAGCAGAAGCTAAGTGAGTTCCCAAGGAATTAAATCCTTTCCACTGCAGCAGATCTTACCCGCGAGATGAGCTATAGCTCACAGTAGAGCGCTCTGTGGAAGACTGTGCCGATGAGCAGTTTTCCCTCGTAGACGGATGCCACCGAGCTTCCCTGCAGCACAGAGCCGTCGTCGGCGTAGACACGTGTCACCACAGGCTCCTCCGAGAGGATGTTCTGGATGCGCAGGACCTGCCAGAGGAGGGGGATACGTCTACTGAAACGGCTGTGGGTGAAAATCCTCCACGGATGGAGGGAACATCAGTATGTTAATTTAAGCACATTAGTTAGGTTGATCAGCTGCTGCTAACTGCAACCAAGTGATTCTTGTGATAGGGTCACAATTTCTGCTTCAGTGAAGCATGGTCCATGAAGACTATTCTTTTTAAGTGGCTATGCAACAGAGACTCTACGTCAGGAAGCACAGCAGGCAGTTATTCCCAGCACTAGGTACATGCACAGGTTTTTCCAGCCTAAGAGTTACTTAATATCTTCTTATTTTCATGCTTTTTCCAGACAAACAACTGCCTAGTGTCATAAATCTACTGCTATTGAACACGATAATTTTGCAAAATGTCTTATGGGGAGCTTCAAACAAGGCTGAAATCAAACGGCCACCAACCAGCCATCTGCACTCGCGGCTGCTAGCGCGCCGATGCCAGTACCTCATTGATTTCAGAAGGAAAGACGGATTACAGTGTCGCCTACTGATGAACCACACTCGCACAGACAAATCATTCCAGTGCGAATGCTTCTGGTTGTGCATTGCAGTCAGTCAATTATTTTTGGTTTGGCAAAGAGGTGCTGGCTCGGCAATTAACACAGTTCATCAAAATGTGATTGCGTGGTCACAGCTGCACAGAAAGCAGCCTGAGGAGTCCGGAATGACTGAGCTACTGGCTGGAAATTACTCAGTTGTCTCCTAAGGATCTGAATAGGTGTTTGTTAGTGAGTATACGCTGTTCAGCTTTTCACTTGAGAGCAGAAGCTGGAAGCCAGCTCGGTCTTTGCATTCACAAAGGCTGGCCAGACCCTTCTCTATGGAACGCAGAGCCAAGTTATACCGGGGCGATTTGAACAGAGCAACTTTCTGGGACAGACACAGCCAAGAGAGCAGTGACGTCTCCCAAAAGGCACCTCAGAGGCAGGCAGATTTTCGGGATCATTGTAGAACAGCTTCATCCCATTGGGATGACATCCTGTCCAGATGTCTCCAGTGTGAGGGTCAATAGACAAGTTATCGGCCAGAGTGTCCAGCTGCAGCGTCTATCCAATGCAGAGGGAAACAAGAAAAAGAGAGAAGTTAAAGCTATCACAAGTCCTTGAAGCAAACTATAACATAACCAATAGACTTGTCCAAGACTCTCATCTGACATAACTTAGACTGATTTTTTAAGAAATGTTTTCTCCCCCAGTGCTGTTTTCCTTTTCCCCCAGTACGCTTCATCCCCTCCTCTGTGCCGTGAGAAACCGGCTTGCTGCTCCGAGCTTTCCCCGTTGGCTCAGTCACACCTATGCTTGTGTTGATTACTTCAGTGCCTTGCGGTCTGACCCACACCAACTGAGGCAGACTTCCACTGCGGCTCTACAGCACGCCCGAGGATCCCTCTCTGGTTGCTGGTGTGAGGGTGGAAGACCTGAAGCTCTGTAACGGGGCGCAGAGCACCTCTGCAAACCCACGGCAGGAGCCATCCAGACCAGAACGTCACACATGATCAGGCTGAAATCTCAAGCGTTCATGGGGACTAATCTGTCCAAAATTCACATACGCCTCTTTTTTATGGAACAGCAGCACCTTACCTTCACATGGGTTAAATTCCAATTAGCATGTTTTTCCATAACATGGACATTATGATCAAGTACATCTGCAACATATATGTACCTTCAAAAGAAAGCACCTCTTAGCAATGTGTTTGAGTAAGCAGACACCAAAACCAGGCAGTTCCTCCTGTGCAAGCCCAGCTCTTCCCGCGAGGAATGCCAGCTCACCGTTCTCACACAGCAATAGACATCGCAAGCAGACCCCAGGGCACTGAACTGAAGCCAACCTGCTGAGGCACTAATGTAGCTTCACACTGTGCCCGTTCTTCCATTACAACACTGCAGCAGGTCTTGGATTGCGAGATCTGCAAATATGCTTTTTTTGTTTTTTTAATTTAAGCTCACCTGCCTACACCACAGGACTGGTTAATTCAGTTTTATATGTAATAAGACTGTAGAGCGTTCCCCACTTGCAGAAATCCCACCCCGTTAATCCTTGCAAGCAATATACGCTAACTTCTGTATCGGCTGGTTAAAATGCAGCAACCTTTGATCTTATTACATATAAACTTACCACGCAAAGCAGCAAACGCTGCCTCCAGTTAAAGACCAAGACACATGACTTCAGTTCTACAAACCCTCCGTATCACTTACATTGTACAGGTAGCACCTTGCATTGCACAAGCCAGTTTAGACACTCGACCGCATGCACAAATTAGGATTTCGGGGATCTTTTGTGCGATCAAACAAAATCTAAGGCAAGGAGAAACTTACTTTCTGTCAGGTGAAATGTTAATTCCATTGGCTGAATAAAACCCAGCTGCTACTTCTTTAACTTCTTTTGGGCTGTAGTAAACAACATTTGACCATGTTAAACCCAAGAACATCTCCAAGAACATCAAGATGAAGTCAGAGAAGTAGTGGTCATTGGTAGCATAGAAGCTGTCTGGTCCCATAGCTACTATATCATTCACACTAAAAAAATAAAATGAGAGGGAAAAAAATAAGTAAAATAATTGAATGAGAGGTATGAAGGAGCATTGTAGGACTGCACAGAATCCAGCCAGGACATGGTCACCCCATAGACATAAAGGGGCAGCAATTACAGATGGTACTTCAGAAAGACACTGAGTTATTTAGATCCTTCTTTTTTTTTTTTTTTTTTTTTGAGCCAGGACTGGGCAGTGCTGAGACCTGAACAGGACCATAGGGCATCAGCTAGAGATCTGGCTACCCATCCATAGTCCATGGAAATTTTTCTCTCTTTTGGTTACGTTCAACTAGACACCAGAGAACAGGTAGGAGTTGTGACAACTTTATCTATCAGGCTCTGATTATCTTACAATCATTTGCAGTAGAACAGACCAAGAAAATTTTGTATGCAACAAAAAAAAAAGCTAAAAGTATGTTTATTTTTACACTGTAGCAAATTCAGCATTACAGAATATCTGAAGATTCATATCTGCAATGACCTGAGAGCGGGCTTTGTAAGAGAAGGGGAAATGGATGTCAAGCTAATTCACTGACATCAATCACAGCAGTGCTTAAGACTGATTTAGTGATACAACTATTAAAAATCTCATTTACAGAAGAGATTGGAGAAATACAGTTTTTGATTATAGAGATAAGAAGCAATCAATAAGAGAAACAGGAAAGCTGGTTAAAGAGAAAATATCTCATATTAATAATACCCTAAAATCAAAATCATCCTACTTTGGATTTTACCAAAGCAGCCTGTTCTTCTGGGGGAAGACCGTATTTGGCTCCAATACCTTGTCAGAAGGTCGTGTCGAATGGTTTTCAGGTGTACAAGAGAATTGTCATCTTCTACAAATTTAAACAATTCTACTGTGCTTTTCTGATGGGGGTGGTTCACAACAAAGAGGTACACGGTGTCATCTTAAAAAAAAAAAAAAAGAAATGGAAACAGCTGAATTCTCTGCAACAAGTTTGTGCGGCTGAGCACCCACAGCTCTGAAGGAAGCAGCCTCTAGTACAGAGCACACGCTGGGTTTGGTGCATTTGTCTCACGGTTCTTCAGAGGCAGAAGGACAAGTACCAAAGCAATGCAGGATGCCACTGCAACTGCATCCAGATCTCCAGCCACTCTACTCCCTTGCTCACTGTGTAGGAAACTGCTGTGTAAACTACATTTTTGCTATTTCTGCCAAGGAAGAAAGAAATCATAGCTTCATCCTTGTGGCCAAGCCACCGGGTTTTGCAATCATCTGATGCACTATAATGACTGGTTGCATGAAAAAGCCACGGTCAGCTGGGAAGGAGGGCTTGTAGCCCAGCCAGTTTGGGCTCTCCGGTTTATTTACCGCACCCCCTGAGAAAGCTGAAGGAGCATCCTTCTCCTGTGTAAGGCTGCAGTTCCTCTGCCCAGCCCTTCCGGTGAGACCCTAAATTAGCCACCACTGATTTCTCCACCACCTTCCCCTTAAAGGGTGACTGTATGGGGACACAGGTCAAGCTGAAGCAGTGGTTCTCTTTCTCTTAATATTCGCAAGCTTCTAATTGCCCTGCGAAATGACAGGGAAAAAGACAGGAAGGAGAGCATGGAGGGTATTTTATTGGTAGCCAGAGCCTGCTGTAGGAGAACATGTCTTGGAGAGGAGAACATGGCTTGGTCACAGAGTACCAGAAATTCTGGTCATTTACAGAGCTTTGATAATTTACTGTTTATCTATAAAGTCTTCATTCTGGTCATTACTTGTCGGTGAAGCACATGTCTCCTCAAAGCCCTTGACCCCAGAATGAGATAGATGTAAATCGGTAACATAAACTTTGTGTGGTTTTCAACTCCTCAAACTTTTCCCATGTTTTCTTTCCTGTCAATATGAAGGACATCTTTCTGTCTCAGACAGCCTGAGATTATGTGCAAAGGTGTTTGCTTTAGCAGCTGACATTTAGGAAAGAACCCAACCAAGATAAAAAGCCTGAAAACCTTTTTCTCTCCCAGCAAGCGTGAGCTATCGGGGGTGCAATGCAAGGCTGCAGAGGGATTTCTGTCTGTGCTCTTTAGGCTGAGATTTGCCACCACCTCACGTTAAAGCTCTGTTTACCTCTGTCTACATAGGTGCTGATTCCGTGAGGGTTAAACGATGCCAGATCAAACCCTCGGCTGATTCTCAGTTCCACTGCTCTGGGATTGTCTTCATTCAAATCCATCAAAAATAGTTCACCTGGCTTGTCTGGTGCAGGGCTCTTTATTCCTGGATATTTCAAGCCCTGTAAAATGAAAACATAAGAAAATCCTTCTTGGATAAAAGATAACGGGAAGCATCACAGGGTTGAAAACGCTGGAGCCTTGCTCTGGTTGCAAGCAGACATCAGGATGTCCCCATGCCACGGTGGAGATAGAGGGACCGTCTCTGCTCTCCCTGGTGAGCCCTTAACCGCGAGCACAGAGGGAGCAAGCTGCGTGGCGGGCACGAGGAGCCATGCCCAGGCACCTACCCCCGGGTGGTGGCACCACTGCCACCCTCTGCAGCCACCACCCGGGTGAGTGCTCCCCGTACGCCAAACCGCTCTGTGAACAGACACGCTGGGGGACAAACTGGAAGTAGAGCAGCACCGAATGCATCCGACGCGGTAAAGCCACGGGGAACAGCAGCAGTGCAACAGCTCACAATTTCTGGCATGAATTTTGCAACGTTATCATTCCCTGGGTGTCCCTGGAGCACGTAGATGAAAACATCAGCGTTTGTTTTAGAAATAATCGCTCGCCCTCCTGATTGCAAAGCTTGAAAACCTATGTCCTAAAGGCTAAAAAAAATTCAGGAACAAAATCAACACACAAAATCTGATTGTTTTTTGAAACGATAGGGAATTAACACACCTTCTTAACAAGAGAGGTTTGACATTTCAACATTTCAAGTAAGCAGCATGAAAGAAATAGAAGGTTGCGTGGGCAGATAAGCCAGCGCAATAGGATACGCGTGTCAGAGGCCCCACTGCCACTTCAGTGTCAAGAAGTGCACTGGTTCAAGCAGAAGGAAACACCAGCTAAGCCGACACAAGTCGGGGCCGTTCCTAAGGAGCCAGCCAGCCTTGTAGGAAAAAAGAGTCCAGCCTGTAATTTTCACCTATGGCTTCTATAGATAAGGAAGCAGACAAGCCCTTGTGCAGGGAGTGTGGACGGGCACTTACGGAGCTGATGAAAGCCAAGCCATTGGGAAGTATGTCGATGTCTTCTGAACCGGTTTCTGCAAGACAGAGATAAACAGGGGGTTTTCAGGCGACATTAAATATTCCCCATCGAAAAATCTCCTGTTTCGTACAATTCCAGCTCTCGCGAACGCCCCTTTCCGATACGACTGCACAAGCGATGAAGTTCAGCAGAAACAGTTCACAGCACATTAAAAGTGGTAACAGAAGGCAGCAGCACGCCAGGTTAGGAAATAATACCGGGGTTCACCTCTTTCTGGGGGTTAGGGGTGCCCCTGCAGTGGCCGGGCAGTCCCCCACCCAGCTCCGCACACTCCAGGGCGGCGCGGGATGAATCACCCACTTTTGATGATAGTGTTCTGCAGCAAGCAATGAGCGCCAACCACAAGATTTTCAGGGCAAGACCGTACCCATCACTCAGCCTGCACGCTTGCATAAGGCAGCGCTGGGAATTGCACATGCTAATTCTCCTGGTGACCTGGGGCATTTCATTAAGATGGATTGCCAAATATTTTGTTAAAGCTCTCAAGTGACAGAGAACCTACTATATCTTTAACAGCTAAGGGCTTTAATAGTTAGACCACATTTTTAACTGCGGGTAATCATTTCCAATATTGCCAGTTCCTGTAGTTCCTGTCATATTTTTCCCTGCTAGGAAAATAAATAAAATAAAATATAAAATAAAATCCTTTTAGTAAGAACACTAGAGCAATTTTAGCCTTTGATCAAGCACTCTCTAGAGAGCTTTTAGTCCGACACAGAAGCACAGTTGCCATCCTCCCTTTTCACCGCTCCCCTGAGAAACCTCCCGTCTCTTCTTCAAACCAGCAGCACAAACAGCATTCCCCACAAGCCACTTTCCAGATGATGGCTGGATTAAACCCACCCAGGAGCTTTTGCTTAAAGGAGGAAACTGTTCTGTGGGTTTTTATTTAATAGGGCCACCAACACAAAAGTGTTCCACCCAGTTCTCCCCATGTGTCCGCACCCCCTCCTGCTCGGCGACAGACCACCCACGTGACCCTACGTGGGTCACACCCTCCCGGGCACCTCGGCACCTTCTCCCGAGGGTAAGCACCTGCAAATTCCAGCTGGTTTTATTGTTTGCTTTTATGCAACTCCTATTTATTATGGCATTAATTTGTCTGGGCTGTAATTTATCCTGTGGCTGCCAAACAGCTCTGTTTGGGAGGAGCCCGATCCCCAAATTCACCTGTCCAGGCAAGTTCCTCCCCAGCTCAGCCCCAGGGAGATGCGGTGGCAGGACTTCGCCCGGAGGGACAGGGCACGGGGACAGGGCCAGCTCCTCTCGAGGCTCAGCAAGCCCCTGCTCCTCCCCATTACACTAACGAGCATCCCCGCCTTCTGAAGAGCAAAAGGTCTGCAGATGCATTTTGGGGGGGGAAGCCAGCCCGTTTTCCCACCTCCTGGGTTTTGGTTCTGAGTTTTGACTGGGCTCAGGCAGGAGGCAGACATCTGCACTCATGTGCCCAGAGACATTTAGAGCCTGTGTTTTCCAACTAAAACTTTGAATTTGGTTTTTTTTCCTTTCAGCTCAGCTCACACCCTGGTTTAAGCAACAAGCTCCTTTTCTTTGCCCCAGCTCCTGGTCTCTCCAAGTCTGGGTTCATTTATGAGATGGGGTTAGTGGTGATTCCCCACTTCCCTGGATTGCTGCAAAGACAACATAAATAAATGCGGAAAGGCTCGATTACCATGGTGACGTGAGCTGGACAGACAGCTTCTGCTGGCAGAGCACACTGGTGAGTGAACAGAGATACAATCATTTATCGCTGCTGAATTAGCGAGGCTGCCAAGCAGAAAGATGAGCAGGCTAATTGGAAGCGGATAATTAAAAAGAACAAGTTTCTGGTGGAAGGAGCGTAATGAGAGCACTGCAACCAACTACTTTGAAAGCAATCGTCCAGTAAAGCGCATTTTGGCCACTTCTCAGCCAGGACCTGTATGTGTGGAAGACAGTGAGTGCCGTCAGAAGAGCAGCGAAATGCTGACTCGGTGCGATCCTGCTGAGGCGGCGAGGAGGGGATGGCGATACACAGCCGGCCGCGGGGAAGCTCCCGCGCTCTCATGCAGGGCCCTGTTTTGGGAGGGCTCTGGGCTGTGGCTGCAGGCGCCGTACGGACAGGAGAATTAGGAACTGATTTATGAAGTATCAGTTACCTCCACTGTATTGCTTAATTGTATCACCAAGCCCAGCTTGTCCATGGGATTATCTGAATAGGTAGCATTTTAAAAAAAATTAAAGATACTGAGAAAAATTACTCCCTACCCTACAAATGTTCTTTTTTTGTTCTTTATTTTATCTTGCTATGATATATTCCGTGGGTGCATCTAACAAAAAGTCCACCTGGATTTCATGTCCAAAAGCAACTGACTATTTCGCCTATATCCCATGAATTGTTCCAAGATGCAAGTATTTCTAGCAATTTCGATAGTAGCTTCTTGAACTTTGGGAATTAGTTCAGGACACCTGGTTAGTTTATCATAAACCAGTAACATGAACAGACACTCACAGAATTCAGAAGATACTGTTTATTCTAAACTACAGCCTTTTCTACATATCTGTGAATGAGGTTTAGGACAAGCTGCAGTTTTTCACTGGTTTGTTCAATGTTTGCATCTGTGCTTACATTGCACAATATTTGAAAAACAGAATAGATCAAGGTCTTAAAAAAAAGGGGAGAGAGACACAAAGGAGGAAATTGTGCAGAAAGAAAAGGGTCCACTAGAGAATTTTTCCACTTACTCTAGGTTTGCTTCCTTTACTACGGATGCATCACTTTTAACATAATTACAACAGACTCTACCAGACGCCTGTTCTTCCATGGACGGATTGGATAGTTGAAGATTATTTTGTTCTGAGCTCATCCAGCTCATCACCGATGTCCCACTTAAGAGGCCAGAAAGGCTATTTTAAGTGTTAAAATAAAGACAGACTGTTTATTCAACTTTGTCATAGCATTTTAAAGCAAGAATGCCTAGGAGGACCAAGATGTGCCTGTAGAAAGATATCCATACACAATGATGTCACCCACAGGAGCACCCTTACAGACCCGAGCCCAGCAAAAGCCCTGGTTTGAACAGTGCTACCTAGGCAGCATCTAGATGTTAGGGCTCCTTGGTCTCCCTGAGTAATATAACCCCTCAGCCATATGAAATGAATGTTGGAAGATGTTTGTGGGAACATACCAACTTTTAAATTTGCACCAATCCTTTGTTATTTCTAATCCTGCCACATCGGACCCGCTGAGTTAAGCTTTGGCATTTTACTTTTTCCGAAGAGCAGCAAACGGCAGAGCGAAGCCCAGGCGAGGTGCAGAGCTCCATGTGAAGGGACAGCGTTACAGGAGCACAGCGAGAAGTAGAAACGAAGCTCTGTAAATCGATCCACCACCACCTCTGAGCAGAGCCGGGTTCTCAGAATTCACCTAATCTCCATGCAAATGTCAGGCACCAAAAATGAGATATTGTTCGGAAATTAAACACAACCGTATTTGCGATTTCCAGCTTTCCTTCTTTCCTCAACAGAGCAATCATGTTGCAAAAAGTCTAGTAAAGCTTGCAATAGTGATATGCTTAAAAGAATTACTCAGAAACGCTTTTTATAGGAATCACTATCAAACCAACATTATTCTGAGTAAAGTACAGCTCAATCTAGAAGACCTGGGAAGTTTTTTCAAATGCAATTTCTTCTGCACATAACCTCAGGCAAAGGAACTCTGCACATGTTTATTCATGGCAGTAATTTGACTTTATAAAGATGTTTGATTCCTGACACAAGGAAGAAGCAAGATTTGTGAAATCAACACAGTGACTCAGCAAGCTCAAAGGCAAGGCTCTTCAAGTTCATCCGATGACTTTTTACACATGCAAAATCCAGGCAAATTTCAATAGAATTCAAGACACTTCCGACAATACTAAGGAGGAGAAAACCCCCAGCCATTAAGCCTGTATTAAATTTAAAAATTATAATTTGGGGGAAAAGAGAGACACAAAAACGCAATCAATTTTAAAGCTATCCATTTCATACCCCGGTTATCCTAAAGCAAGAGAAAAAAACAAGACAGAAACATTGCAATGTGCTGAACACATGACCCAAAGGACAAAGTCAACATTTCAGCCTCTCTGTTAAACCTCTTTGCAAACCAGACTAAGATGACAAATATGACCCACTGCTCTTTGAAACCACCCAGCTGAATTGCGCAACCGCACCCAGCTCCTGCCCGCTCCTTGCGTGGCGCGGTACCGGCCCGCTCCGAAATCTCCACAAAATGAGGCGCTAAGGCGGGCGATCCTGGCCGGCATTTAGCAGCCGCTCCTTCGCCACATGCCTGTGGCCTTCTTCGAAAGCCTCCACCCTCGCAGCATGTCCTGTCTTCAAGATGTCACCAGCTGACAGCCACCTGTAAGTGCCTGCCTGAAGAGCCAGCACACCCTCATCTAAAAGTCAAATAATTCCCTAAGTGGCTGAGCAAAGGAGAAGTGTTTGCAAGGTCCTTGTTTTCAAGAAAAGGAACAGAAACATTAAATACCAAGAGCAAAAACTAGCTACTTTTTCAGTATAATTTTCTTCCGGCAGTTTCTCCCTATCTCAAAGTCCAAGTAACAAATGAAAGTCAAATTAGCCCTTTGTTTTCAGGATCAGCCTTGGAAGCTGGCTTTAAGAAGCAGTTGCAAAATAAGGCTGGACAAAAGCAGTGCATTTGGTTATTTTGAGCACGTACCGATCCCTTTAATGAGCCGGCAGTTCGGGAGGCTTACTGGGGCTATTTCCCGTGAAGCATTCAGTCTGTTCCTGCAAGAGGAAAGAGGGTTAACAGCACACAGCCAGTTCTAAAACAGGTAACATTCCTAGCGTAGCATTATCTTAGTTTTATTGTCTGCCATATCGCAGCAACAAATCAGCTGTAAAATACCGAACAAGCAAAACCCAGAACTGACAACAGCAATTGCTCCAAACCACTGTGATGGTTACACGTGTCCAGGGATTAAGTGATTCTCCTACACTGAGTATCTGCAGGAACCTGACTTTGTTCATGAGCTTCAGGAACAAGCTTTCATGACCCATCGCAGCTCAAATAATAAAATAACATAGCCACACTTTCTTCAGGGTTCAGCCACCTAAATATAGTAGCACCCTGCAGTTAGGACAAGCATTTCAGATGAGATGAGGGCGACCTTCTACCCCAACCCACTGGCTACTTTTGGTGACCAGGGCACCAGCAGTTGCACTTTCTCTATTCCTTAGTCCACATTCTGAAGTAGTGACAGTGTTGTTGCAAGGCAGGACTACCCATTTCCTAACAACGGGTAGGATTTGGTAGTACAATTTTCAGCACTTACCCTGTCCCTTCCTCTTCTCTCCTGGTACTCACCCAGAGCATTATCCTTCAGCAGGGCTTACTTCCTTCCTGAATACCCACAAAATTGGATCTCTAGCTCACGCTTTACCAGACAAGCAGATACAGACAGGTACCTGTAAGGTACACATCGGTTCCTATTTCTTCATCTCTTCCATTCCAAGTTGTCTACAAATCTATATGGAAGGCACCTCACTACCAGGACTGCTGTGTTTGGCCATGGTGGTCTGCAGTGCCACAAGCAAATATGTTGTGTTTCTATGTAAAAATGTCAAGCTGACATACTAGAATATTTTTTTTTTCCCAAAAAAAGAAAGCTTTTAAACCAATGTAGTTAGTTTAAACTCCTTCCCCTATCATACACACATGTTGAGGCTCTACTTGCTCCAATCACAGGAAATTCTGAATGCAAAGACCCCACAGACCCCATACCAAAACCTAGCTATGTTTATGTTATAGTTTTAGGCATAAACTAAACAGCACTATCAGTCTATGGTATGAAAAACATGCAACACAGCTGAGCGCCGTATGGTATGTCAGCCCTGCATTTTTTTAATCACTTCATTATGAATTACAAATTGCTTCAATGCTGTATCATTGACACAGGTTGTTAACATAAGGCCAGAAAAAAAAAAAAAAAAAAAGACAAAAAGGGCAGAGGACAGCAATGGAAAGGAGCCAAGTTAAATTCTCCCAAGGCCTCTCCTCCAGTTCAGGGGTCCCGACAACAAATTAGAGCAGCTCCCAGCCCACGAGCAGCACAAGGGGGATATCAGCTCCCCCCTCACCCCCCAGCATCCCGCATAGCTGAACCCTCCGGGTCGCCGAGGCTGGCTCGGGGCGATCACGCCCAAAGTTTGCACTGCTGCCTGCTTAGCACTTTTCCCTTTCCTATTTGCATCAGCTTTTCCTGGGCAGCCTGCAAGCCACCCAGCCCCCAAAGCGCAGCGGGAACTCAGCCAGCAGCCAAGGAGGGATGATGATATCCCGACAGCATTCCCAGGGAAACACTTCATGGGCTGGAATGAGAGTAATTCAAAAGGACACTGGTCACAAGCCTGCAGCATATAGAGAGGCTTTTCCAAAATGTGTCAGTTTATCTAGCTCAGACACCCTTATCTACTAAGTCAGATGGCCTACATAACTAACTAGTTGTACTAAAAACACAGCGGACTTGCAAACTGGGGGGGGGATGCAACTTCAAAAAACTCAGGAATTTCGCTACTTGGTGCAACCCCAGTGCACAGCACCTTTCCCAGCCGGTTACTCTTTCCAGTTTCAGTCCTCCATCGCCCGTCCCACTTTGTGGGACACAGACCACAGGCATGTCCTTTCCTTCGGCAGCAACCTGTTGCATATTCAAAGACCTCTCTCTCTTTCACTTTTCCTCTTCTCTAGACTTAACCAGTCCCAGATCTTTGAGGTTTCTTCCTGACAGGACTGAAAATCACATCTTATTTTTGTTTTTGCTCCCAATTCTTTTCAAACTGTCAGAATCTTTCTGGAAGCATGCTGCTGTTTTGAACACAGTATGTAAGCTGAGAGCCATATCAGTACAGGGTGTTATGAAATGGTAACATTATATATGAACAATAATATTATATGCATATTGTTCTGAGGAAAACAGTAACACAGTATCATTCACATTGAAGTTTTACAAATTAGCTCAGACCTTTCTTCAGAGAAGAATTAGCAATTTAAAATGCCAATCGTGTAATTTCAGTTGGTAACACACAAGCACTTCACCTGTTTTCTGCTGTACGAGACATACTCAAGTCCATTTGGTGCCTATCAACAGCACAATAGCTGCATAAACAAACTTGATTTAAGAAGAATTAAGTTTGTAAGAGATTTGTAATAATTCTTCAAGCCTTAGCTTATAAGCATTTCAGAGATTCTTGTGTCACACTATCTAGACACAATACACCAAACTCAGAAGGAACAGCAAAAAGTCTTTGCTGGATTCCTGCCTTCTGTGGGGGATGGATAACAGAGAGGCCTGGCAAGAGTTAACACTACCCACAGTTTCTCCTCTCAAGGCTGTGTTAAATGATTTTAGAGTACTTTCTTATCTGAAGTTGTGTGTTTCCAAACTGCAACCATCTCAAGACCACTGCTACGATACAGTTTGCTGAAAACACAGCACACGGGAAAAACCCACAGAAAGCTACAGAGACTTGGGGCATCCTGTTTCTATCAGGAGACTGTGCTTTACCAGAGTCCCAACATTGCATCTGTTCATATGATTTGGAGGGGATGTGGGATCCCCTGCTCTTCACAGTGCTTTGAAATGGTTTTCCCAACTAAAAGCCCAGGAGCATTTTCCAGCTCTGCCATCCCAGCTTGTGCAACCCCAGGGCAGGAGGGTCCTGTTACCACCGTGGTTATCGCTAGCGCTTGCTGTGGATTTAGTGCAAGATTGCAAACGCATCTATGTGAGGTACCTGGGTCCAGAGAGTATAGCCCTCCTTCTAGCTACAACTGCTATCTAACCAAAGATCAATTAGCTGGATGTCGTTGCTTTGAAGTCAGGCATTTGGAGTCCTTGTGGACATGAGCAAAATTATGATGTAGCTGCCTTGCAACACAGTAATTCACCAGCACTTTTCTGGCCTGAAACAACCAGGTAGGTGTTTAGGAGCTTTCAGGACAGAAGCTGCTGTAACACCAGTGTTCACATTCACATCTCATGATATGAGGTGCATGATATGGAGCATGATATGGCCGGGTATTTTAGCCCACAGCAAGTGAGGTCCCAATTTAGGATCAGAGAAGTCCGTGCTCCTTCAGAGGTAATCTCGTGTACACAGGGGCTATCGTTATCCAGAGGTCAGCTTTGGTCGAAAATAATGCAAGAGTTTCTGGCAATCAGACTTCCACTTACTGTTTGACCTATCGGCAGAAGATGAGGTAAATCTGCAGATACAGGTTTTGGCACACCCCTGTTAAGTGCAGCCTCTGCAAAACCAGAGGTACCAGCCCCCCTGCCCCAGGGCACCCTCTCCCTCTGGCCCCCTTGACCTCAGCATCTTGCCGGGGAGGATTTCACATCCCCCTTACCGCAAAGGGCATTTCCACTGGACAAATGATCCTAAAGTTAGTTTATCCCTGACGAGGGACCCGCTGACAAAGCCAGTGCCTAGTTCTTCTCTGGGGAAAACCGGTTCCCTTGATAATAATGATGATAGCGATGATGGTGGTGATGGTGATGATGATTAAACCTTCCTCTCTGGCCCAATTGCGCTTGTGCAAGGGCAACTATTCGCTGAAGTTACACCCCAGATCAGGCGCCGAAGTGCCCCCACGCTCGGAGGGAGTAGGGGCGCACCCGCCTCCC